GTGGATGTAATAACAATGGTAGTAGCAGCTGTTGTATCAGCACCCGTCACAACAGCAATAAGGATAGTAACACATGGGAATCGCATTAACGTAATTGTTAGTACGTGCACTTGTAATAGCACCGGTGTCAGCAGCGGAAACGGTAGTCATAAGTAGGAGTAGCAGTAGTAGTAGTAGTAGTAGTAGTAGTAGTAGTCGTAGTAGTAGTAGTAGTAGTAGTAGTAGTAGTAGTAGTAGTAGTCGTATAGTAGTAGTAGTAGTAGTAGTAGTAGTTGTTGTAGTTGTAGTAGTAGTAGTAGTAGTAGTAGTAGTAGTCGTGAAGTAGTAGTAGTAGTAGTAGTTGTTGTTGTTGTTGTAGTTGTAGTTGTAGTTGTAGTTGTAGTAGTAGTAGTAGTAGTAGTAGTAGTAGTAGTAGTAGTAAAAGTAGTGGTAGTAGTAGTAGTAGTGGTAGTAGTAGTAGTAGTAGTAGTAGAAGTAGTAGTAGTAGTAGTAGTAGTAGTAGTAGTTGTAGTAGTAGTAGTAGTAATAGTAGTAGTAGTAGTAGTAGTAGTAGTAATAGTAGTGGTAGTAGTAGTAGTAGTAGTAGTAGTAGTAGGTGTTATGGTTGTTGATGTTCTTCGCACCCTCGCGAGGCCATCGCGAGGCCAACTTGGAGGACGCCAGCTTTCTAGCCTAGGCCGCGACGCGCGAAGCACGATTATCTTCGCACCCCAGGGGTGACCGAGCCTCGGACAGCCGCAGAAGGCCTCCCCCTCCGCTCCTCGTTGTCCTCTTCCCTCCTCCTCATCTTCCTTATCCTCCCCCTCTTCCTCTTCCCTCCGCCTCCTCCCCTTCCTGCTTGACTTCCTCCTCCCCTCCTCCTCCTCCTCCTTTCATCATCATTTCCGTTATCATCATCAGCAGCAGCAGCGTTATTATCATCATCGACATCCGCATGCTCGATGTAGCTTTACCAATATCCGCAGCAGCAGGGAGTGATAGTAATAGTTGCGGTAGTAATCTCAACGACAATAGCGCCGTAGTAGTCGTCGTAGTAGTAGCAGCAGTAGTAGTAGTAGCAGTAGCAGTAGGAGCAGTAGTAGTTCTAATACCTGTGCTCGTACGAACAACAGTAGCAACCACGAGAATAACACATGTGCATCGCAGCGGTAGCCACAATAATATGTGCTGGTGCCGTAGTCGTAGTTTTAGCACTTGTACTGCTAGAAATAGCCATAGCCGCAACGATCATTTGAAACATGCGCACAGTTGCGATAGCCTCAATAATTCGTCTTGTTGAAGTTGTGATCGCACTAGTAGCTATAGTTGCATTGGTACCAGTAACAGCAGTGGTAACGGTAGTAACCCACGGAAACAAAAATTAGTAGCACCAACAATAATATTTGTGGATGGACTACTAATGATAGTAGCAAGTGTTGTATCAGCACCTGTAACAACAGCAGTGACGTTAGCAAAACATGGGAATCGTATTTTGTCTGTAACACCGGTGACAGCAGCGGAAACGGTAGTAACAAATAGGAGTAGTAGTACTAGCTGTTATGGTGATGGATGTTGTAATAGTAGTAGTTATTGTAAGTTTTCCTTGGGGTTCCAGAGAGTTCTTCAGGACAAAGGAGTCATCATAAAGATTCAGAACGATTGCCACTCGGAGCAGTCCAAAGGATTCTCCAGGATTCCTCAGAAAGATTTCGACGGATTACCACGCGGGCAACTACGACAAGTCCGAGCCGATCAACCGATAAACCGATAAACTGGTAAACCGAGAGGCCGATACACTGGTAAACGGAGAAACATACAGAAAAAACGATAAACCCATAAACCGATAAAGCCATACTGCGCTGAGGTTCGGACACGCTTGCGATGAGTCGGTTTATCGGTTGATCGGTTGATCGGTTTATCGACCGATAAACCGATATAATCATATCGGTTTATCGGTCGATAAACCGATCAACTGATCAATCGAAATAGCTTGCCGGTGTATCGATTTATCGGCTCATCGGTTTTATTTTCAGGTCCTGCGGCTGCAATCTACATATATAGATAAATGTATAAAAAATGTATGCGAACAAAGACAATGCTACGAACAGCAATATTGAAATTACTACGACATATGACTGGTAATGACTACAACAGCAACAAACACAAGAATAGCACGAATGGTAATAATAGTGATAATAACAGGAGTAATGATGATGATCATCATCATCACCATCCTCATCCAGATCCTCGTCCTCATCCTCATCCTCATCGTTGTCGTCAGATGTTTCCCCCAATTCCTCCTCCTTTCCTTCTCAGCATCATCCTCCTGCTTCTCATCCACTTCCTTCTCCTCCTCCTCCTCCTTCTCCTCCTCTTCATGCCTCCACCCTCAACATGATGATCCTCCTTTTCCTCCGACTCCTCCCTGGAAGCAGGACCCACCGGCCGTGAAGTGACTACCGGCAGACCCTGCTGGGTCCCAGAATCTCGACCTCCGCCAAACAGGAGCCTTCCGTTACGGCCACCAGCTGTATCATCCCCCTCTTCATCCTTCACCTCCTCCTCCTCCTTAATCCTCGCACTCCTCACCCTCCTCCTCCTCCTCCTCCTCCTCCTCCTCCTCCTCCTCCTCCTCCTCCTCCTCCTCCTCCTCCTCCTCTTCCTCCTCACACTCCTCCTCCTCCTGTTCCTTCTCCGCCTCATCATCATCATCATCATCATCATCATCATCATCATCATCATCATCATCATCATCATCATCATCATCATCATCGTCATCATCATCATCATCATCAGCATCATCATCATCCGCAGCAGCAACATCATCATCATCAGCAGCAACAACATCAGCAACATCAGCATCATCTTCACCACTACCACCACCACCACCACCACCATCATCATCATCATCATCGTCATCCTCAGCAACAAAAGTATCATCATACGCATCACCATCATAAGCATCAGCACCAGCATCAGCATCAGCATGAGCATCATCTGCAGCAACATCAGCCCTCATCGTCAACAACAGAAACAACATCATCATCATCATGCTCATTATCATCATCATCATCATCATCATCATCATCATCATCATCATCATCATCATCATCATCATCCGCAGCAGAAACAGCATCATCAGCAGCAACATCAGCATCATCATCACCACTACCTCCTCAACCACCATCATCATCATCGTCATCACCATCGTCATTATCAGCAACAAAAGTATCATCATACGCATCATCATCATAAGCATCAGCATCAGTATTAGCATCAGAATCATCATCATCAGCCCTCATCGTCACCAACAACAGAAACAACAACATCGTCATCAGTTGCCTTAGCGTAACCGTGACCATCAGCATCAGCGTCAGCATCAACATCAGCATCGTCATCAGCATCAACACCCACAGCAGCAGCATCAGCATAGTTCGTCGTTGTCGTACTCGTCCTCGTCGTCGTCATCAGCATCATCAGCAGCATCATCCTGCTTATCAGCATCACGATCAGCAGCAGCATCATCATCAGCATCATCATCATCAAGTTTAGCATCATCATCTTCTTCATCATCCTCGTCATCGTCTTCCTCATCATCTTCGTTATCACCATGATCATCATCATCATCATCGTCGTCGTCATCCTCCTCCTCATCATCATCATCAGCGGCATCACCATCACCACCATCACCATCATCATCGAGATCACCATCATCACCAGCAGTCTCGTCATCATCGCCTTCACGCACACTCACACATCCTCACCATCATCCAGGTTCGTAACAACCTCTTCCTCCTCACGCTCGGCAGCATCATGCTCCTTCTCCTCGTCCTCCTCATCCTCCTCCCCCTCCCCCTCCTCTTTTGCACCACCGTCATCACCATCATGTTCACCAGATTCATCATCGTAGTCGAGAGGGAGGGGGCAGCAAGGAGAAGAGGGAGAAGAGGAAGAGGAGCAGAAGGAGGAGAAGGAGGAGGAAAGGGAGGAGGGTAGACGTCCGCATCCTCCCCAGTATCTTCACTCTCCTCCTCGCTCTTCCTCCTCCTCCCCGTCCTCATCCTCATCCACTCCTCCTTCTCTAGCTCCTCCTCCTTCTCCTTCGCCTTCGCTTCTTCCTCCCCCTCCTCCAACTCATCCCCCTCATAGTCGTCGCCTTCGTCACCGTCACGATCACCATCACCATCATCAGCATCATCATCATCAGCATCACCATTATCATCACCAGCATCATCATTGTCAGCATCATCATCACCACCATCGTCATCATCATCCTATTCTTCTCCTTCTTCTTCACCAGCATCACCATAATCCTCATCACCACCACCATCATCATCAACATCACCATCAACATCACAACCGATATTGTCGTCGTAGCCACAGTCACCGTAAACAGCAGAATCAGCATCACCATCAGACTTGTCCGCATAACCATGCTCCCTCTTCTCTCGAAACACGAGCTCATAGCAAGCATCCTCGCCCTACTAATCATCATCGTCAGCATCATCGTCTTTAGCAACAACAACATCAACAACAGCAACAGCATCATCATACTTATCATCATCATGTGTATCATCCTCAGCCGCAGCAGCATCATCATCAGCCTGCGGAGCATCACCATTATTATCATCCTAACCATCATCAGCAGAAGTATCATCATTGTCGTCACCACCACACCGCTACCACCATCATTAACATCATCATCATCATCAGCATCAACATCATCGTCACCATCGTCATCAGCATCCTCGTCATCGTCAGTACCACCACCATCATCAGCATCATCGTCGGCATCATCATCATCATCGTCATCATCATCGTCGTCATCATCATTATCATCAGCATGTGCGTCGTCACCATCCTCACCATCAGCATGGTCGACATCATCCAAATCGTCCTGATCCTCACCACCATCATCACAATCACGATCGTCTGGCTGATCACCGCGACCATCACCATCAGCCTAAGCATCAGCATGTTCCTCCTCCTCACCGGCATCATCGCCCTGCGGCGAGGCCGTCCTGCGGCGCGGCTGTCCTTCAGCACGGCCTGGTTCGCAGACTCCACGGCCTGCCGCACGTAGCGCTCGATGGCGCAAGGGTCGGCGCGATGCACGAAGGCCTGTGCCACGGCGCCCCCCCCACCTGCGCTGGCCGAGGCGGCCACCCCGAGGGGTCGATCCTATTCCGTGTGTGTCCTCCTCGTCTTCCTCCTCCTCCTCCTAGCAATGTCAAGGTTCTGGTGCCTTCTCGGCCCGCGCACTTTGGAAGTGCCGCAGTGGGCCAGAGCCAGACTTCAAGCGACTGTCGTGGCCACTGGCACCCAGCAAGGCAAGATGTGGTGCTGACGCGATCGGGTCTGCACCTGTCGCAGCCACACGTGGAGAAGAAAGCGTCGTCTCTGTGACGCCAACGCTCCTGCCAGAGTCCTCCGAGAGCTCCGCCGTCCAGGAGCGGCCGTGCCGTGGGATGATGCCAGGCGGGGCGCCGTGGGCCAACGGGACCCTGCGGCTCGGACCAGACGACGGTGCCCGCAGAGCGAACGCCGACCCACGCCCAGTCTGGAGAGCTCGTGTTCGAGGCGCTGCGCGAGATGGCTAAGTCCACGGGCAGCGGAGGCACGGGAGACGCTGTCGAGCACATCGAGGAGAAGGAAGTCCAGCCTGCTGCGCCTCCCCAGCCTGCCGACCTTCGGACCAAGTCTCCGCAAGACCGTCTGGGACGTCGTTCCAGGAAGTGCAAGCAGGTGGACGCTGCCGAGCTGCGCGTCAAGGATGGCAAAGCTGAGGTGGCCGAGGCCGAGGCAGCGGCCAAGGCGGAGCGAGATCAGCTGGAGGAGCACAAGGCCCATCAGCTCAAGCTCAAGGACGCCATCCTCGAGGCCCAGGCCAAGTCGATGCTTCCTGAGCTACCCCACCAGGTGGTCGAGACCAACCCCTTTATGCTGCCCCTGCAGGAACCGAGGCCTTTCACAAGCTGCTGGAGCGCGGGGCGAAGCAGTTCAAACTCGACCTCTCTGGGCCGCTCGGCGTCGTCCCATCCGAGATGGGGCGGCGAAGTCTGCGGCTCAGAAGGCTACCCCATCTCCAGCTGCTGCAGCTGCTGCTCCTGCTGCTCGTGATGCTGCTGGAGATGCCGCTGCGGCCGTCGACCTCCCCGTGGACGGAGCCGCGGAGAGGGACGCGGAGCTCGGCGCTGACAGCCCCGACGTCGCCCAGCATTTGCGCAGAGCAGGTGTCTCCACGGACGACGAGGCGGCGGTCCAGCGGCTCCTCGACCGCCTGTCCCTGGCGGCCGTCGAGCGTGCCAACAAGGTATGGCCGTGGCGACAGCCCGCATCCGCCCTGGACCCAGCGCCCGGGAGGCTCCAGCATCCTGGGGACCCCAGCGGCGCTCGGGAGGCCAGAATGGACGGTGCGGCTCGGACACGCATAATCATGGGCAAGGGTGGCCGCTGGAAGACGGAACGTTTGACCCCCACTCCCTGGACAAGCCCGGCGAGCAGTGCTGGCGAGGACGCCACGATGGACCCAGACGTCTGGAGTGTGAGTGTCTCGACATTGATACTGGGGCAAGGCTTATTGAGATCTCTGCACGTTTCCACCAATACGACTTGTATTGGACACCGTCTTCTCTTGAAGTTTTACCCGGCGGCCGTTACGCATCGTCATTCGCTTACGATTCCACGGTTGAACAGAAAGATGCACCTCTGTCGTATAAAGTCGTAGAAGAAACGGTGATTCATGGCGAGCTGTTTGACAGATTGGGCAATACTCGAGCTTTCATTTCAGGCAAACGATGGGCGATAAAGTGTACTATAAGCACAATACCTGCACTGCAAGCCCCGGGGCCGAATCTACCGAAGATCCGTGCGTGGGCTATGTCTGCAGCGTTGTCGGTTTTGCACGGCTGCGACTCATGGCACGTGACATCGGACCTATTGACAGGCATGCAAAGATGGGAGAAACATCGGTTACGACAAGTTCTTAGTTTTCGTAGGCGCCCGGGTGAAGGACGGTGCATTTACAGTGCACGGTCGGCGTTGACGATACCGCAATGGATGCACTACTTCGCCGCTACGAAAGTTCGGCCAAAATTCAACGCCTCCCGTTAGGCGACGGGGCCCCAGTACAACGTTGGCAGTGGGCCCGTTAGGCCGCGGGGCCTCAGTACAATGTTCGGTTGAAGCATTTTTCGCTCCAGTCTCGGGCGGCACCGCCCTTTCGAAATCGAGCCCGCGGGTTTCGAAATCCAGTCGAGCTCGTTTTGGGGGGGAAGTCCTAGGCGAAAGCCACACTTCGAAATCGAGCCCGAGGGTTTCGAAATCCAGTCGAGCTCGTTTCGGGGGGGAAGTCCTATGCGAAAGCTGCATTTTCGAGTTTTCGGGTCAGGGCTTTTAAAATTTTAAATGCCAAACGGTGTGGCCATTTCGAAACGGCGGTTTCGCTTGATACTTCCTCGAAAAAACGAGTTCGAACGATTTCGAAACTTTCGGGCTCGATTTCGAAATGGCGCTCCCGCCTAGGACTTCCGCAAAAATAGAATTCGAAACCTTTCTGCTTCGATTTCGAAATGGCGCTCCCGCACAGGACTTCCTCAAAAATAGAAATCGAGACCTTTTTGCCTCGATTTCGAAATGGCGCCCCCGCACAGGACTTCCTGCAAAATGAGGTTCGGCATTTGTTCCGTTCGAACTCGAAATGGCGCTCCCGCCACGGGGGTGCTAGCGTCAAGGTGATAGGCGGCGCTCGGCTGCTCATAGGTTCTGTGGTGCTCTCAGGCTTTGGAGTGATGCTCACGGCCGTCGTGGTGTTCATAACCAATGTGATGCTCAGGCGTTGTTTAGCTGAAAACACAAAACGGGTCAAACTTTCGTAGCGCCGATGTATGCTGGCGAGGACTGCGTGGCGCACCGGTTTCTCACGTCCATCTACACAGCAGCTTGGGACGAGCTGGCGCGATTCCTGCCTCGATTTCGACCAAAATCCCTTGAAATTGGCGCGGGAATACCGTAATCGATTGTGGTGGGAAACCCTGTCTGCATTGGGGTCCGTACGAAAGAGGAGATCCGAGGGACTCGTGCACGGGCGCCCAGGCCACGTTTCGGCTTGGGAAGACCCCTTGTGCACAGTCCTCGGCGCAGATTGGCGCTGCAAGCGAAATTCAACAACCACCCCAACTTGCTGGCTCCGGAGGGCTGCCGATTTCGTCGACAAAGCGTACGCCTATTACAACATCAGCTTGCCCATTAGAGCCAACCGCAACACGTTGCGAGAGGTACATCGAACGCTTGTGCCGAGGCCGGTTCCCGATCTCCCTACACATCCAATGCATACGCAGTGGGATTCTTGGCGGAAGCGCTTGTGGGTCCAAGTGGATTGTCTCGGCGTCGCGGACGTCGTCAATGGGGAGGCGGTGCTACGATCCCCGGAGTTGGAAGCCATATTCCGGCGGATATGCGACAGGTTGTTTTCATTAGGACATACTGGATGAAACCCGCGACGAGATATTGATCCCTGTGGTATGGGCGGGCCGAGAATACAAGTCAGTGCCAGATTACTTGGTGAACGTGGCCATGGACTCTCAGAACCCTGTTTCGAGTTGGAATCTTGACGCTCTTCGCAGGCAAATTGATAGCGAAGGCGTCATCAAGGTCTGCGTGGATGGAGGCCTCTGGGAGCAGCATGATCTTGCAGGGCACCGTCTAGCTGCCATAGGCTTTGCGATTTATGGAGTCCGTTGCACCGGACAGGGGGTTATCCACGAAAAGCTAGCATTCCAATCTGAAGTGGTAGCAAACATGCGTTCGGCGTTCCAGGCTGAGGCGACCGCTTTAGTCTTTGATTTAGAAGCGGTACACACGTATCTGAAATGAGCTTGCCATGTGGAATTTTGTCTGCGCTGTTCCTTCCCTCCTTCCCTCCTCCTCCCTCCCTTCCTCCTCCCTCCCCTCCTCCTCCCCCGGCGCGCTTTTGCCCCCATGTCTTCGCATCAGAGGTTTGCCTGTGGATAGTTGGTCGTACTCGTTGATATTTCCTCGCGCCCAGGGCAAAGGCCCCTGGTGGCGTTACGAGCTTCTGGTGTCGTAACACGGACTCATAGATTGACCTTGCACGCGCACTGTGGTGCCAGCGGAAGACTGAAAGAAAGAGAAAAGTGGGCCAGGCATGGCCGACGTGTCGATGCCAGCTTGGAGTTTATGCCCCACCATGCCTGTTTGCAGGAGCATCGCATCAAGAGCCAGCAAATGGTGAAGGCGGTCAACAAATGGGTGTCCAAGCGAGGGTTCAGACACTCTCTGGGGCCGGCGGAGTCGACGGGCGAAGGACCGCTCAGCTCCAGTGGCGGCGTCGCTGTGTGTGGCCGATTTGCTGCAGTGGCTCATGATGTGCACGGCGCTGAGCTCCCTGGCAACCGAGCGGCTTCCTTGCTGGTCGACGTCGGCCTCGGCGTCCCGTTCTACATCATGTCGGTCTATCTCGCTACGAGCATCGGGCTCACGGACGAAAGCCTGCACATCATGCCGTGCCTGCTCTCCTGCGTGACGTGGGTTAGCCTCGACGGCCACTGGCTGCTTCTGGGGGACTGGAACCTCCTCGCCTCGGACGTCCTCGTGTGGCCCCAGCTGGCGAGAGGGGTGGTGCTGCAGTCTCACGCCCCCACCTGTGGAGCGCAGGAGATCGATTTCGGGGTCTGCCGTCAGCTGTTGGCGCCGGTCGTCCGCGAGGTCGGGCAGTTTGGGTCGGCTCTTGCCCAGGCGCCTGCTGCGATACGCGTTCGCCTGCAGGGCCTTGGCCATTCTGCCCGCGCATCTTTAAGGCAAGGCGTCCGCGCAAGCTTCTGATCGACAAGCCCCCGCATGTCAGGCCGGCACCTCCCGAGGCTCCCGCGACCGAGTGGCACTGGACGATCGGCTCGGCGCCCCCCGAAGCTCTCGGCGAGGCGTGTGCTGTGTGGTTCCAGCATAAAGTCGGGCATGCCCTTCTACAGGAGGAATGCTCCAAAGCAGGAAGAAAAACACGGGACGATTCTTCGTCTATGTTTGACCATGCTTGAATATGATCCGCCTGTCGGAGGACATGCCCGACCTAATTCCAGCATGCGGAAACTGACTTAGCGGAG